GTAGTTTCTGATTACTTAGTGATCATCTGTGTTTGGAGTGTCATCAGTGAAAATGAATTTACAAATGATTCCCAATACATCAGTTGATAAATAGAATCAATCTTAAAACCGTTATGCGAGAGGTTTCCTGGCAAGTGCCGTAAACACGGGCAAAATGTACGTGATACACGCGTCTTCCGGCGGTTTACCGTTTCCTACAACCGACATCAGGCTGTGAACAGAAATATGAAAACAAAAATTAATATGTTAAAAATATGTTTCAATATGTTCGTTCATATGCGCTAGTGTGTGTGATGCATATGTACAGAATACACATAAACAGTTGTTAAGTTACATCCGACAAATCATCGATAATTAGATACAGCCGAGGACGCGACACAGCGTGTCCATTGCATGCACGGCCTGCGTCTCGAAGCGCGCTCAATATACAATTCACAAAAACAGTATTTGTATTTTTTTACCGCTATGTCTCGGTGCTTCATATTAATCACTGTACAAGGTGTCAATCACGGTATAGTATCTAGTATCATTATTGCACCTGTAATTGGCTAGTTACGAGAAAAGAAAGATAAATATGTACATTATATGTTATGCGAGATGCACATTATCAAGTATGTATATGCAAGATGTGATATGCGATAAAGATTCCATTTGATGTCACGGTCACGTGAATTGCGAGATTATCGTTTGATGTCACGTGAATTGCGGGATTATCACAAAAGCGTGACAAACTTATTTCCAAATGCAAACGCGTCCGTAAAATTAAACGGATTTTTTTTCTTTGGCCATGTGGTATACCCAGATCATCATGTGAAACGTGTTTCCACTCATTTCGGTTTTTATAGTGACATTTCCTCGGTTACACGTAGGAATATCGTTAATGGCGTGTGGAAATCACATGGAAGGGGATTTCTTTACCATATTATCAGTCTCAAAGACGAGACCACGTGACTCCTATAAATAATGACAAAAACAACCAAAAAAGATACCAAACAATGCATTTTTATCACTGTGGTGCGCTAACCAGTGGGTCCCAGTGAAACGCAAAAATAATTCCAGTTTCAAAATAGTCCTTTTTTCTCGGCGTTTTGTTTGAAACGTAATGCTTAAAGGGCGTATTTTAATCACATCAGATGTCCGGCTTGTATGTGAAGTTTTGTTTAGTATATGTGACTTATGGATGTGGGCAACTGTCAATTAGAAATTACAAAATTTGGAATGTATTACTGAGAATATTGAAGATAAAATGACAGACAAATCTGCTTGTTCTGATTACATTCACTGCGTAGGAGTTGAGATGAAAATATGGCCAGAATTTTAGTATATACATTTGGTTTTAGCAGATAAGAACATTGTGATGGAGAAATTCACCCAAACGCTAACATTGTCATCAATGGAAATATATTTACTGGTATGACCCCCTTAAACATGTTACATTCTCAGTAAAGATTGTGACTAACGTAACATAGGAAGTCATAACAAAGATTTAGCTCTATGCCCCGTCTATATGCAGGTGCAATGTAAATCTAAGCGTTTAAAAATATGACACATTTTTCCCCACTTTAAAATCACTTTAAGTGATTTATAATACACATAAAGTGTTTGTTTTTTTAAATCTCAAATGAGGTATTTACAACACTACTGTTTTAAAATAAAATATTTTTACTGTTTTGTGATAAACATTTAAAGTGTTTATAAAGCTTGTTACACTTTAAAAACACTTATAATTTGCATGATAGCAAAAAGTGTAATATATTATGAAAACACTGTTAGTGGAACATTTAAGGGATGTCTTTGCCCATAACACATTATATACCGTGGTGCCATTAGAAACACGTTTTTAAAAGTGTTTCCACCAGAAACATGACTCTAAAGTGCGTATTATCTCAACACTTTTAAACGTGTTTTTACTGGTCACACATTTGTAAAGTGTTTCCACTAGAAACATGTATAAAACGTGTTTATTACCACAACACTTTTAAAAGTGCTTTTACTAGACAAACATTTTGTGTTTATAATCACATGTAGAAAACTGTCTAAACCGAAGACATGTTTTAATGAAGTGCTTACTATCACAACTGTTTGAAAGGTGATTTCACTAGACACACATTTTGAAAAGAGTTTCCACCAGAAATATGTACTGAAAAAGTGTTTATCATCGCAACACTTTGAAATGTAAAACACAAACTGAATATTGACAAGTGCATGTAACGGAGACACAATTTAAAAATGTATTTACACTAATCACAACTTGGTAAAAATCATTAACATTATCAATATATCAAATGATGCGTTTCACAATGAGCCACTTTGCACTATTGTACAGTGATCATAACAAACTTAAACAAATCACATAATCAAGTAAGAATGTATACACAAGTGCAAGCCTACCATTACAATCTATGCTAATTATTTAATCTGAGCATGCTCAGTTGCCCTAGTCAGTGCAGTAGGGAGAGGTAATTTTGGATGAAAATTTTGAAAAAACCCACTTAGAATTTTCAGATCTGAAAAAAATACGTGCATACTCGGCAATTACTTGTTCATCAACCTGTCAAGTTTCATCGATATCTGCTGCAGAATTTCTGAGAAAATGTTGGAGACGGAAAACGGAAAATAGAAAATGGACATTTACAAAACCAGTTTTAGAAAATCCGCTTTTCAGGCTGCGCCTGAACGGCGAATAAACACATCATTAATTTCATTTATTGGATGTCGGTATGGACATAATGTGATATGGAATTCTCTGGTCCTGTAAATGCATGAACTTGAGTTTAATCAGTTATCCCACACATTCCGCTTCTTTCCTCAGAAAATGAAGAAAGACATCATTCGGTTCAAGTTGTTATTGCTTCCTGAACGAATATGCCACCTGTCCACACACTCCCGATAGTATAATTCAGTATCTCAAAATATTTGCAAAGAAGTAGCAAACTAATTTATTTGTTTTCATATTGTATTTATTGTATTAAATAAATTCCTAAATAACAGTTGAATGGTTATGTATCATTAGAGGCTTAGAGGAGCTCGTTTAAATTAGGCGCAAATTGGCGCAGTTGCATGGTAATCACCATATTGGAATTTAACACCGAGGCTCCGCTAATAGAATAAGAGCTGTAAAGAAATTGAATCTAATGATTAAATCACAGAGAATTAATGCCTGTTTAGCGCAGCGTCATCAGCTTACTAACTCGAACATTGATAACAACACCGTGCATGTTTAATTCCATCGGTCATTACACCTGTGACAGGTACACTAGCAAAATACTAAAATCGATGAATTTATCACTATATGTACAGTGTGTGACTTGCTGACAAATGTGACGTGTGTGTGCATTTGTTTCCATTAAATATGCTGCATACAATCGATAATAAGCACTGTGTACATTATAGATGCATAACATAGACGGCATACACAAGTGTCATGTATATAATCTGATGTGTTAGGTTGAAACATTGCTTGAAATAAAACAATTTGTAAAAAAAGTGTTTATTTACACTGATGAAATTGTGGTGTACATGTCGTATACATAAACACTTATAAAACATGCATAGTCGAGTGTTTTACCTTGAAACATTACATGTGTTTGTTCGAGGAAGTGCTTCATCATAAAACAATTTGAACAATTTGGAAAAAAGAAAAGTGTTTTACTCTCATGAACACAAATGTGTCTTATACATTAACACTTTGCGAAACATTTATAGTCCGATGTTTCGGGTTGAAACATCGTTGGTGATTTTGCTTTCTCAAGTGTTTCAAATTGAACATTTTTCAAAAGAAAAAGTTTAAAAGTTTAAATCACATGTGAGAATGCTCAGATATGATTGGAACTACAACTGCCATTCACCAAATGCGGATTAATAAAATCCGTTAGGCCACGAGGTACTTAATGCACCACGAGTCTCGATTTCTAGCGGTGCTTGACATAAATTATTTTCTGGAAGTAATGTCATGACTCATCTCATTATACGTTGAATTACGTCACTATGATTGTCTAGTTGGCATATATACCATAATGTTTTCCCACGAGTCCCCAAACTTTTCACTCAATTTCGTTAATACTGCTTGCATAAACACTTTAATGACACATTTATGTCATCGTATGTCATCATAAAAAGCGTGTACTTACTCTTTCTGTAATTGGTCAAATGTTTGTTTGGCAAACTCGGAATTTCTTCTCATGAATTCCTTGCTTTCAGAATATGTTTTCACCAGTTGCACAAATTTCGCAACAGAGGTGGACTTCTTGATGGAAAACATAGTCCCTCTGTCAAAAATACACCAGCATTTATATCAAATCAAGGCGTGATGCTTCATAGTCATTTTGCACGACTCCCAGTCCTAGCACTTTCTTGTAGTATAGCCAAAAACACATGCCACAATCCGCTCATTGTGAAAGCTCAGGTGAGTGGGGCACATACTGTAAGTGTATTCAGTATTCACTGGATTTTAATTTCGCTATTTCCGCTGATAAGTAAAATTTGCTACGTGAAATAAAAATAGAACTTGGAGCCAAGTGCAAAGGCTCGAAAATCAAAAATCACAGTGAAAATAAATAGTTTTATAGCAGGCAAGGGGTGATACGTTGTCAACAAACAAGCTAATATCCGATTGGTCTGACTGTTAGATATTAGCCAATCATGCACAATCTTAGAAGTAGCTTCGCATTGACTCTAATAGTGCACAGGTTAGGGTATGCCACGTGATTCTACGATAAATGCAGTCTTTCATGTCAAAAGTCAATTCCATTCCTTCCCGGTGGCATTTAATATTATTTACACATTTTAACGAAAATAGTGACAATATGATAAAAGAGATAATAATAATAATAATAATAATAATAATAATAATAATAATAATAATAATAATAATAATAATAACGATAATAATAACGATATAATGAGTCACAGTGAGTTTGGGCGATAACAGTACTTTCATTGCGTAGTATTTACCTCTGACTCTCTTCAAAGGGTAAACGCAGATCCTTGAATCGGCTCTTGAGAACTTCCCAAGAAACACCCCACTGGTCTGGTCTATTGTTCTCTAGAATGTCATCCTCCACCTGTGTTAATTTAAACAAGCCTCGGTGTATAAACTGAACATTGAACTGGAAATAATATCATGTTATATATATATATATCCATCACATTGACATATATGTTTATCACTTACCATACCACGTGGTACTATAGTACCTGCCAACTCAAGCAGCATTTAACTTTGTGATTCCATCCAATATCGCATGAATTGAAAAGTAAGGCAGTTATATGTTGAAAGTGGTGTATCTGCTGAGTAAATTACGTGATGCTACTATTTCAAATTAATCACATTTTATTGAAGTAAAATATGCCTCGAGTTTGTTCCAGTGGCCATTCGTTTATGCAAATAAGACTAGTGCTCTGCGGAATTCATGCGCGTTAGTCGACACAGTTAGTCAAAATTCTAGATAGTTTTCTGAGCAAAAATAATTGAGAAGGAAAGCATAAACATATAGGTACCCGAAGTTGTTTCAATAGAATCGACTTTATTTCCTTGTTTTGTGAAACCGTACACTGCCCAACTGAGATTCACGGAACGAATTCCGAAAGTTTGTTATTCATACTTTCAAATAGCCACCAATAAACCGCAATTTGCGATTCATAATTCTCTCATAAGTTAAGCAAATACTCACATTTCTTCAATTATAATTGTGCTAATAAAATAATTAAAAAATAATAGGAAAATAAATTGATTCTGGAGTAAATTTAAAGAAATACGTGTTTTAGGGCGAGATTGGTATACTACCTATCACTTTACCCGAATGATAATACCAAAACTCGTTGAATGTAATTGTTTCACTTTTAAGTTAAAATTGAATTTTATCGAATTTTCATATTGTAACTAGATAGCATTTTGTTTGAATATAATTAAATTGCATTCCTATATACATATTTTAATTGAGTGTATAGTGATTAACATAAATTAATAGCAATGAAAATGTAATAGTAATTAAAATACATACCTATATACGATTGATATTTAATTACGTTTGATTGGTATTAATATTTTAACAGTCACGGATTAATGTGGCCCTTCCAAATAACCAGTTAAGGCATATACTTTGTATGCATGTTTTGTTTAATGTTATTTGACACGAGTTAAACCCAGTCAGTACTACATATTTTTATCAGATTTTACGAAGGTATATATTTGCACAGTTTACAAACGGCCCACTAAAACTACATCGGACATTACACGATGTCCTGTAGAAAAATAAAATATGTTTCACATACAGAAGAATTCAGTCATTGTTACATTTCGAAATTGTACATAGATGTAATGTCCCCACCTTTCGTAGAATCCTCTTCAATTCCTGAGTTTTCTCTGCATCATCACATTCGATATCAGTTTCCAGGTAACTATAAATTGCTAAGCAACCACCAGGACGAAGAACTCTTTCAACTTCTGGAAAGAATTCATCTAGGTCAAACCAGTGGATTGCCGTTCCTGCTGTAATGAGGTCGACTGTACCGGATTCCACGGGAATGTTTCCACAACTACCAACCCTGATGAATGAAATACACTTGACATAGTACTACACGAGTCAGTTAGAACCATCGGTACCATTCGGTACCAATTATTCATTGTCTGTATTATAGGAATTGAATTGAATTATTGCTTAAAATGCTTTGTCACAGAATAATAGTCTGTTAAAGGTGCCAAGTATGAAATAATTTAAGGACAAAAAAACAAACCTGCATAGAAATCGGAATAATAGCTCTTTTGATTATCGGAGACGCATTTCAATGGACTTGATTACGGACAATGCATGACGTAAATTTCACCAGGAAATTCTGCAGTGTGCTCTCGCAATCGCGGACTTAGTCATTTTTACAAGGTTCGCCATTTTTGATGTCACGTGATAATTATGTAAACAATGACTGTCCAGTTTGTGCGAACTTGTACCTCTATACTTAGTCTTTTGATATGTATAACCTAAATTACTGTTCTAAACGAGACAACAAACAGAGAATGTTTTATTTAAAAACGTCACAAAACCCTTCTCGCTACCTTAAGCCTTGTTAGCTCCAATTATAATAGTCTATGGGTGTATTAGAAGTATGATGTCACTATGACGTCACTTGTGAATCTCCTTATAGTATTCGCGCAATGTATGAAGATGAAAACACATACTACACGTTGAATAACTAAATAAAACGTTATATAATCATTATCAGAATCCTACAAACGATTCATTTATTTTCACAAAGTTTTTTGTTGTTGAGAATTTCGCTTCAGCACAGAAAAGAACAATGGTATTTTGTTGTGACGCGCCATAACAACAATAACAATTACTCACGTGAAATCTACATTATCAGGAAATTCACTTTGCTTAGCACATTTAATCTGGTCGGGACTGAGGTCTACGCCAAGTAAACGTTCAAAATATGATAACATCATCAAAGTACTTTGTCCTGAACCACATCCGACATCAACGAGAAAGTTGCGAGGACCAGGCTATAAATATGATGAAAAGACGATTGTAATGCCTTTCTATTCATTATATGCATATCACGTGACAAAATTAACATAAATTGACTAATCTGTTACTTATTCAGGGACATAGGATCATGCTATACACAGTTTCAATAAATTGCGCCATCTATGTGAAAACAAAAGATCACCTTCCCGCGCGTCGAAAATACCACGTTTCGCATTCTCGCGTATACCGTTTTGGCTGTAACGTAAACTTGCACTCATCATCATCATCATCATCATCATCAAGAAAATTATGTTTCAACAGGACATAACAATATATATATATTGTTAACCATGTTTTTGCAGTATAGCGGTTAACTATTTTCTGTTCAGGGTGGCTAACAGACTGGGTAAGGTATGTGGGGTCACGTGACAAGGGTATTTAAGTGGAGGACAGAAGGTTGAATATCAATCGAGGACAGACTCGCTATGGTGCAGATTTGATATGTACGTTTATTAATGTTTTTTTCTTATCATACAGGCTGACACCCACCCCCTCCCCTGGGCACGTGCTAAGGGTAAATGTTTCCGTGGATTATTTTTGTCCAATTTCCTATATGAAAAGACTTGTTTTTTATTCCTGTTTTTTTCCCGGGCGGTCGGCATGCCAGTAACGGAGTGCTATTGTTTGTCAATGTTTTTGTCAGTTATTTTTAAATGTTTTCTCTGACCTAGAAATGTTAGCGGCATTTGTCAAGCACCAATATTTTTGTTTAAAGCCCAGATGTAGAATACATACACTCAAGTTATTTTTTCACATTTTTTTTTATTTTTAATCTGCACACTTGAACACTCCATTCAATGTAATGAAAGCCGTTTTTAGTTGACTTTATAAGTTACTACCTTAATATTAAAATATGTTTAGATATTCAGAGTAGTAACAAATTCCCACTTCCGGTCCGGCTAGATTTCAAATTCACTTTGAGAAATAATTGTTGGTATGAGTTGTTTCATACATATTGCAGCTTCGTCATCCTGTACCTCTGTGGTTAGTAATTCACACTTCCCAGATTGAATAAAAACATATAGTTGTGCGATTTTGTCACATTTTTACATTTGAGGGACGGCCGCTTCAGATATGTGCACTCTAACGTGAACACAGATGAACCTAAAAGCGTAAGGCAATCAAACAAACAATTACGTTGTACTAAAGTACGTTCACGGTCTTCATTTTTTCACACCATAAAAACGGTTTTCTCCCTCGCTTATTGCCACTCCCTCAAACGCATTTTGTTATCATTTTTAATTATTTTATCAATATGTTGACATTTTACATGCAATATATTTCTGTGACTATCCTTCAGATGGGCAATCTAGCGCTTCAATTTTTCCAGAACCTCTTGAGGATTTGCAAATTTCGACTCCCCCCTGCAGAGTTTCATTTGGCGAAGGCATCGGACAAAAATAAAATAAAATTCCGGCCGGATAAATATACTGGCATGTGCAATTTTCTTTCTCCTGACCCAGCTTTTGAAAGAATGTACCGCTCCTGAGTGGACGGCACCCAATCCTGGCCTGTGGTAGCTATCCAAGCATGTCGATAACGATTCACACGGCGTTCCCTTCTTCCCGAACGATATAAATAACGATAAAATGTGACCACAATAATGGAATAATGTAACAATTTTAACAAAATGAAAAAAAAATGTGATCATAATGATAAAATAATATAAAAATTTGACGATAATAATGAAATAATGTAAAAATGCTAACAAAATGAAAAAAATGTGCACATAATAATAAAATAATATAAAAATGTGAACATAATGATGAAATAAAGAAAAAATGAAAACATAATTATAAACAAGACATGAATGTCACAGTCCCCGTTATTTCATTATAAAACACTCATGTTGATTTAATACATGGAACATCTGCGAACAATTAAATTAATACGTACTCTATTTTCATTGACCCGGCACCAAAACCAAACCAAACTATGTCTCATACATGCTCAAGAAACTGCATTCATAAATCTGAGTAAACATTGATGTACCTTTAATAACAACTTGACTTCTTTGTTAATTCAGGTCTTTGTATACTACCATGACCTGGGTTTGTTTCATTATCACCACTACAATTCCCATCAAAATGTAGCCCTGACACCCCTCAACATTTTCCACTGAGATTGGTAATGGTACGGCCCATCCGTCACTGATTCAGATCAAGGTCAGGTCAAGATCAAGATCAAATTACCAGGTCATGACATCACTGAAAGCCCTAGCATTACAATCTAAGCTAATTTTTTATTTATGCTCAGTTGCTCTGTCAGTGCAGTAGGGAGAGGTAATTTTGGAAAAGAATCTTGAAAAAGACCCTCTCAAGATATTAAGATCTGGGAAAAAACATTGACAAAATTAAAAAATAATGTGAACATAATGATAAAATAATGTAAAATGTGAACATAATGATGAAACAATGGAAAATGAATGTGAACATAATGGTGAAATGCTAAGAGAAATGTTTTTGGCACTGATCTCACCCCATATCTATCCGCTTAAGTTATTGTCATGCAAAATTACCATTTTGTAATTGTTCAACTGTTGTGATATGTGTAACAGTTGCCAATCTAAACTTACTAGGAACACGTCACCATGATCGCTTTTATGGTTTATCTTTGGTGTTCCTTTAATTTCCATTGGATCTGTTCAGTCATTCTTTCAAATTTGTGTCGCATAATTTCGTACGCCATTTTTCTGTTTCCCGTTGAGCTATCAATCTACCGGAGTTCAACACCAAGGGTTTATTGGAGCCGAGCCGAACGCGTATGCACGGCTATTGTTGGTGGCTCCGATAAAATGCTGTTGTGAGAACATAGCATATGTCATATTCCGCTAACTCGTTACTTGTGTAAGTAATCGTAGAAACTATCATCAGAATCAAAGATGATCTACACAATGTCCTTATTAGGTTTAAGTGGCCACTTGAGAGGCGTCGTGGCGCATTCAGTTAGTACCTTACATGCCATATTTAAGGGCGTGGTGTACTTTGTCGGATGTGCGACTGAGTCTAGAAAAGACGACCATAGAAGCCACAGCAGCCGAGTCACCAATTGATGGCAGTTTACACTCACTCGGAATATGTTATAGATATCGCATGACTGCCGAGATGTACTTGTTCACAGGTCAGCGATATTTTGTTAATGACGGAATGCGCAAATTGAGGTAACTGTCAATACTCGGCTTGCTGCCAGCCACTCAAGCAACGCATATTTCACCGCTCTATCGATAGTATTAATGTTTAGGTACTCACTGTTTTGCTCAAGAAATCAATAATATACTGCGCTAGCTCAGGCGGATAGTCAGGTCGAAGTTTGATATATGCACCTGACATTTCAGGGCCCCGAAAGAAATTATCTGGCGTTAATATTTCGTTTGATCCGTCCATGGCTGTGGACTTGACAGTAGTACAGCGAATACGTGACTGAGTGGTGAGCGCTATTGTTATATGGTATTTAATGTTGGTGATTGTATGAAGCGAACTTGTGACCCCGGGTCAGTGGCAAAGCGCGCAGAGCTAAGATATTTAATTAAACAACAATGAATACAAGAGAACTGGTGATGGTTGTAGAACCATAACTGCCTCAGCTCAAAGATTGTTATGTAATACAGGGGAATGTGAAGGGAAATGTATTGTAATGTTACCTCTGTGTAATTTACAATATATCTGCATTAACCTTCACTATTAAGGACAATATGGAAGTAGAAGCAAGGCTACGCAAATTTTAGTTAGAATTACCAGACATTGTGGGATATAAAGAAGTGGCCTATTAACTCGTGAAACATACTCTCACATATCCATACATGTCTGGTTTCACAATAGAAATAAAGTGTTATTGCTGTAAATAATTGTGAACAATAAAAACTGAAATTTAGAAAAACTATGAACAAAAAATAATGAAAGTCTTTGATTTTCTGTACAGTTACCAGGATATTATTAACCGAACCATAACATTTATAAAAAGCACAGTGTTGAGATTCACTTCGGGTATATCAGAAATATAATCTTACAATTGCATACGAGTCGTCAAAACGTACAGTTTGGTGACATAATTCAAATGTTGTATAGTTCAATATGCATACAACCACCCATATACTAGTACTTTTTGGCAATAAACCCCTCTTTCACATTGTGCAAATACAAACAACTTGAAGACATTATACCTTCCTGACAGTAACATGTAAGCGTTGTATAAACCCGAATGAAAAGTCTTGAGTCACGGCGAATACTTCTATCGAGTAGCCCATTTAAAAATCTCTTCAACTATCCAAGGCCAATCACTAATGTGCGGGGTCATTTATTAAATAATATTAATTTTATTAACACTTACACATTCCCCGGATGGCTACAAATGTTTAAGAAAGAATAAAAGGTTAAAAAAATTGAATAAATAAAATAAAATAAAAACATATATACAAAAAACTAAGCTAATACATTACTGTATATTAAGACTAAATTATTATACAATAAAAAGATAGAAAAAATGCAAAACTTAACTGGGAAAGAAAATTGTCACTGGGGTTGCTGTCATATTTCAGAACACTTCTTTAGGTACCTTGCCACAGGGAGTGTTAGATCCACTGTTGTTTAGCAAGACTATGAATTGTGTCTTTGATGACAAATTTTGGTTTTTGCCATTTCAAATAAGACATTTTTATCGGGGGTATAACTTTTGCATGACATCATTAGGTGATACTCATCTTCTACTTGATTCTGACACAAAGGTTACATAATCTAGCAAGGGGTATTCCGTTATGTCTGTCAGTCTCAGTTTTCATGTTATGGTCACTGAGGCGGAATTATTTAAATTTTCGCGCATCTCAATATTTTGCAGGGTAATAAGGTAGGTTTCAAAAGCAAATTTGTTTTTTTAATTCTCTGTATGTTCTTAATTTATTCATATTTATATTTAATTTTGTTTTGATTGATTGTCGTTTTGTAATTCACTTTTCCAAGTTGATATAAATGATGTTTGTATATTTTTTTTAATTTGTCCTAATTGCC